GACGCCAACGTGCCAGCCAAATACAAATACAAGTTGGGACATCCGTAACTCTACCCTAAAAATATTCACTAATAATATCGAATCTAAAAGGAAAATAACTCAGCTTTACCTGTAGCTTCGAATGGCAGCTGATTCAGATAATACAGCCAGATTTAAATGACCACCATTTCTCAACACTGGGACTAATGGCGTCTAAGAGGCCAAACGGTCCAACCAAAAGTGAAGTTAGATCACAGAGAATTGACAGAAGCGATGTTGACAGCGCGCGCTCCCACAGAGCGATACCAGGGTTGTGTCAAACAATAACAGGGTTGTGCCAAACAATAACAGGGTTGTGCCCAGACATCATATATCATAATCAAAGACATGTAACGAACTAAAAACTTTACAGCATTGCTATCATCTTTTTCTTTTTTTTTGGAAACCACATCCCTCGTCGAAGGACTTTTTATATATTTTTTAACCTCTGAAATCAATGTTCTGAAGACAATGATATACGCATGAAGACACTTCATTTGGACCCTTTCTGTAATTTCATTCGGTCCATACGTAGCTGAGGCACTTATTTTGGGACATTCTACATTTAATACTTCCAACAACGTAAAATTGTAGAGTAATTCGTAATAAAAAAATAAACGGTAGTAATTTTTCTGGCAATCAAAACAAAGTCTTAAACAGGTCGGTTCATTTTCTTTTAATAATGCGAAGAAAGCGTCCTCTCTCGTTTTGTGAATTGCTTTGGTAGCTTCTAATGATGAAACTTTTCCAGGATCTTTTTTCTGCTTTATTTTCTCACATAAACATATAAATCGACCCGATGACCCCGAATATCATACATGAACATTTTTTCAGAATGACACAAGCATACGCCGAAATTACCAACATTGTATGTATTAATAAATAACAAGTTTTATTTGTTGTTTCTTCGGTTTGTGGCTAGGATGAATTAAAACAAACTTCCTTTTTTATACGACGGCGACGTTTCGCATTTAATATAATGCTTGCTCAGGTTTTTGTTTTGTCTTTCATATATCTTGGAAAGTAGTAATTCTTTTTTCGTTTCTTTACCGAGAATGCCGCATCCGATCCGTCCATATGAATAAATAACCATAGTTTATCAGATAATTATTTAAATACACTATGAACATTTGTTTTTAAAATATATTTTTATTAACTTTGCACTAATTTGCACTTTTAAACAAATTGGGTTTTTGGAATAAAATATACTTGATATAAAAATTATAAAATGTAATACGATTAAAGCTTCTGGCTGAATAGAAAATAAGAAGTTTTTATTTGCATCATATCAATATTGATCTGGTTTAATACTTTTTTCCAGTACGCTTTGTAAGGTTTAAACACTGCAACATCCATACTACAAACGTTTGAGAAAGAATTTCTTGATTCTTACCTTGTATAAATTATATAAATATTATATAACATATTACCTGAGTGTTACTAATCTTTCTTCGGGACTAATTGGTCGTTTATGCACGTTAGTATACACTTTTTTAATTTTAGGTTTTATGAGCCCTAAGATATAAGAGATTGTTGGCTGAGAAATTCTTAAATATTCCTTTATTCTGGATAACTTTTCAGTCATTCATATAAATGATAATATTCACCAAATCATGTAGGTTCACTGTTTATAGGATGAACACTCCATCTTCTAGGTCTTTTAAAAATCATCTACCATTTTTACCACAGTGTCCACATCGAGATATTGCACTTGACATAGTGTGTGAGAATAGTTTAACGGGATATTTTGCCGATTTTTAAATCGGAGACTGATGTTGGTCTGCTCTACAATATATCCTTCTTAATTAGTTTACCATCAATTGAAAAACAGTGGTCAACAAAATTATTTGTAATTTTTAAAAGATGGGGGACGTCGGCAAACAAAGCAAATTGGCGCCAGGATTTTTAAATTTACTGGAATAGATATAATAGACACACGTCATTTTACAATCAAAATTATAAAAAATTGATTGCTTCCAAGAGCTTAAATATTCCCTTAATAAGAAAAACCTAAACATAATCGTAGGATTTCACCACTGAGTCTTTTTCTTGGTTATATTGTTACTCGTTTCTGATTTTCATCTCATCAAATATTACTTACTTAATGGAATATACACGACTTTTTGTTTTCGTAGTACCACATGCAATCTGGTGGAACATATTTTTGTGCCAAATCCATTACCCGTGAATATTTCGCTTGTTTTATGGGAAGAACCCCGTTGTATAGGTGCTGATCGGGATTTGGTAAGCTTAACACAGCGCTTGGTTTTTGAAGGACAAAATCTTCATGGAACATAGCACTTGCAATAGTACTGCACATTATCATTTTACCATTATATTCCAACTTTCGATAACTAGATAAACGAAATTTTACTTTTGGTAGGTTGGTTACCATTTTTTTAAAAATGTTTTTAAAGTGGTCAGAAAAATTTAAAAACATGTAGTTGTGTGACAGGGATTATAGTAAAATTTTTGCTGGTGTTTTTTACTAGCTGTACCCATTCTGCAGGTAGAACTATTCTCTCTCGTTTCCGTTTTTCCTTCTCAATCAAACCGAAACTCCGGTCACAAGGTAGGAAGCTGTGACCAGGTTCCGGATAGCGTTGTATAATGTTCTTAAATCTGCCAGTGTGAGCTTGAACATAAAGATAGTGTACCATCGTATGATTTTTGTTTTGAGAACTACAGTTGTCGGAGAAAATGTACAGAGTTTTCACTTTTTCAGCTACGAAATTTTCAATAAAGTAATGTAGCATGCTTACAACATCATTTTGGCCTTTTTAGCCGACCATACCAATAAGTATGGTAGGCTATTAAGATCGGTAAAAAAAGTTTTTTTAATTTCACTCAAAATAAGTTATTTGGGTCATAAATGACCTAAATGCAAAATATTTTCATGGTGTCTGTCTGTTTGTCTGTCCGTCTGTAACACGATAACTCAAAAACCGCTGAACCGATTTTAACCAAATTAGGCACAAAAATACTGTGGCACCCGAGAATCTGGCTATTAGTTTTTGGTGGGGGTGGGAGGTTGGAAAGGGGGTATGGGAGGGGGTTAAAAATTTTAAAAAATCGTAACTCCAAAATTACAGTAGCTAGCGAAACGCGGTTTTCAAATTAAGATTAGGAATAATATTTGCAACAAAATTTGTAAAACATCAAAATCAGTCAGTCGCAGTTTTTGAGATATTAACATATTTTAGTATCGGCGGTTATACGTGCCTTCCGGCGCCAATTTTTTGCGATAGTTTTGTCATACATGAAGAAATAGGATTTACCCTTGCTGCCAACATACAATATGCAGAAATTATATTCCCACTGTCAACTGTAGGTAACTCGCTTGAAAAATACATCGCCACTAGTTAAATGTGGAAGTGGCATATTTTGCTGGTAGTAAAACACCAGCACCTCACTTTCTCTATCTTTTTTCCCTAATTCCATCGTCTCCTTTAAATTTATATAAAAATATTTTGCTTTTCTTTCGTGTACTTCTTTTTCCTGTAACAAAGTGTTCTTCACATCTTCCTGTTTTTCCGCTGCAATGAGGTTATTAAGTCGGTCACAGGTTTGACATGTATCCGACCTTGGTTTACCGAAGGAATAGTTGTATTTAGTTATAAAATGGCGACAAAAAATCATAGGTAAGTTTAGGTTTTTGTTCATTTTCCATACCATTAAAAACGTCTGGTTCGTATTTTTGAAGATACATTCTGTGCATCTTAGACATATTTAGTTCTGGAGACAGGTAAAATTTATTCTCATTTTTATTTCTGCTATAATGGGATCTTCTTTTTGGAAATGATTGAATAAAGGTGTCGACTTGATGAAGAATATCTTCGAGTATTCTATTGGGTCGATTTAAATGCTTTCCACATGCATATTTTTTGGTGCTGGAACATGTTCTTGGATCTTTGTTTGCATACTTTTATTTCCCCAATGCCTGCTCTTAACATGTAGGAACATGAACAATTCCGTCTAGGTCCCTCTCCGGACTTAGGTCTGTTTCTAATGATATGAGTTATATGGATTTGCAATCCAAGATAAACGTCTTGCTTTTCTTTGTCGCCAATAAGATTGAATGTGTTTAATATTTCCGATTTAGCACGTTCTGTAAATTTAGAGAAGCACTTAAATTTACATTTACAGTCCTTTCCAGTACGTCGCTCTTCTTTCATAACTCTCACCTTTCTCCTAGTATTCTGCCAAACTCTTCTGGAAGCAGGGCCATGGCAGGACGTGCGTCTTTATTGCTATCTTTCTTTATTATGTGTGCTTCATATGAAAAAGAAAGAAATAGGTATAAAACGTATCGTAAGACATTATCGCACATTCTGGTTGGCGGGAAATTTAAATTAGCCATTATTAGTAGTATTCTTTCGTTCTGAACGAACCGAAAATTTTCACTTAAACTGATTTATTCCCTATACCACGTAAAGGGAACGTGGGGTATGGAATAAATCAGCTTAAGTGAAAATGTTCAGTTTTTTTCAGAACGAAAAAATACTACTACGTATTTTAAGGGAAATTATAAAAAAAGCAAAAATTGTACTATTTTTTAAACTAGGGTAATTCCGGGGTAGTTGGACCATCGGGTTAGATCGACCAGTCCCAAAATTCTACGTGTTATTTAATTTTTTATACATTTACACCCGGGCACCCCTCCGTTGGACGAATCCAAATATTAAAATATTGTTTTTGTTTGTCTGGCGGCGTTCAGTCACACAGAAGCTTAGTTAGTGTGCACGTGTTAGTAATAAAAAAAATTCTATAGTTTAGTATTACATGCTGTAAAAAAAATATATGTAAGTATTTTTTGCCGATTGTATAGTAGATTGTTGCTACCTTAACAAAGTACAGTTTAACCTAATATTTTTATCGCTGAATAGTACTAGGCCGTATTGACAAGGTGGTCCATCTAACCCTTGAAATGGGTTAGTTGGACCGTAATTTTTTGGGTTAGTTAGACCATTGTTTTGTTTTAGATAGTCATAATGCCGACTTTTTATAAAAGGAAAGGCACAGTCAATAGAGCTACTTGGAGCGCAGAGGCCCTTCAAAATGCAATGAATGCTGTTTCCACGGGTACATTAGGTGTTAATCAAGCTCCAAGGGAATATGGAATACCTAAAACTACGCTTAAAAACAGAATAAAATTACAAAAGTCACGTTCATTGGGGAAGCAGTCCTGCCTGAATGAAGAAGCTGAACTGAAGTTAGTTTCCCACATTAAAAAAATGCAGAAGTATGGTTTTACTCCAAATCGTGATCTGGTAAGAAGCATGGCTTTTGAACTTGCTGAGAAACTTAAAATTAAGCACAACTTTAAAGTTGTGCTTAATTTTAAGTTTTATTAATAAAATAAAGAAAAAAGCCGGGTATGATTGGTTGCAGTTATTCTTATCAAGGCATGCAGATTTATCAGTTAGAAAGGCAGAAGGAGTATCAAATGCGCGTGCTGTAGGGATTGAATAAGACCGTAGTGGAAGAGTATTTTTCTGTTCTTGAAAATGTTTTAACCGAATATCAATTATTTGAGAAGCCAGGAAATATTTTTAATATTGATGAAAGTGGCCTACAGTTAAATAATAAACCTGGGTATGTTATAGCGGAAAAAGGGTCTAAAACTGTATCCAACATAACTTCTGGCGAAAAGGGGGAAACCATTTCTATTGTAGCATGTTGCAGTGCAGAAGGTGTTTTTCTACCCCCCCCCCTATGTATTTTAAAAGGAAAAAACCTTAAGGAATGTCATAAGGACGGAATGCCTCCAGGGTCTGCCATTGTAATGAACGAGAAATCAGCTTACATCAATGCTGTTATAAGAAATAAGAAATGGTTAGAGGAGCATTTCCTGCCAAGAAAGCCTGCTGGTACCGCCTTAATTATCTTAGATGGGCACACATCGCACACCAACTCTGTAGAAGTATTAGAATTTTGTGAAGCAAATGAAATTATTTTACTGTGTCTGCCTAGCCATACGACACATTTTCTACAGCCCTTAGATAGGTCGTTCTTTAAATCACTTAAATCACATTATTATTCTGAGTGTAACCGATTTATGAAAACAAATCCTTCTAGGAAAATAACCCGGTACCAATTCGGCAAATTACTTGGAGAAGCTTGGAACAAATCAGCTACAGTTCAAAACGCCATTTCTGGCTTCAAAGCCACAGGAATCCTACCGTTTAATCCCAGTATCATTCCAGATTATGCGTACTTAAGCGATACGTTAGTTTCGAATTCTGCTAATCAAACTGATGGTATTCCAAACAGACACGCGATTTCTTTAACATCTAATCCAAACATTGCTCCGACACTATCGCCAGTTGCTGGTTGCTCCAAAGATCCCGATTACAATGGTTTGAACCCTCCAAACTGTCCAAATGAACAACAAGCCCAAACAACAGCAATTACCCCAGGAAAAGCCCTGAATGAAATTGCGCCTGTTATTAATACATCTGCTGTTAATACGGTTAGAAAGCGTGCCCGTCAAGTAGCCAATGTTTTGACAAGTCCAGAAAATATTGAGTTGCAAAAACAAAAAAAACAGAAGGCCGAAATAAAAAACAAATCGAGCAAAGAAAGAGCTAAAAAGAAACGAACAATAACAAAGAGATTAAAAGAAGATTATAGTGATGATAGCAACTCAGAGAGTGAAATTATTTTGCAAGACAGCGAAAGCGGTGACGAAGAATGGGATGAAAACGATTGTGCTGGTTGCGGCGAAAACTACTCAGTGACTAGGAAAAAGGATGACTGGTTCCAGTGCACTCGATGTGATAGATGGTCACACGAGGGTTGTATGAAATATTCACAGATGTGTGACCGGTGCGGCAAAACCGCCTCTAAAAACAGTGCCTAAATTAGTCCCTTTAAGAAATTAATGTTGTTTATGTATCCTTATTTTTAGTTCTTGATGCAAATTCGTTTACTTTTATTAAAATGTATATTTTTTAGTTTATAACTTTTGATTTAAAAAGTGGTCGATCTATCCCATATATCTTGGTCCATCTAACCCGAGGACATCGGGATAGTTCGACCGATACCACTTTTTTTTTTAAATTTCACTCATAGTTTCCTTTGTGAATTTTTGTATTTTTGCATAATAAATACTTGCACAATAACTATATAGTTACTTCTTTTTGCTAGATGGCGCTTTCTAAAATTTAATATAGAAGTGTAAAAGTAGGAGCAAAAAAAGTGGTCCAACTACACCGGACTTACCCTATATATTATTAATAAAAAAAATTATTTATACATAAAAATAAATAAAATTTGTATAATATAATAACAAAAAATAACAGTGTTTATTCCACCCACCTACGAATTTTAAATGCGGAAGAACTGACTGTTGCAGGAAACGATCGGCCATTTTTTTAAAGGACATTAAAAATCTAATTTTCGAAAAAAGTGGAGCTGTCTGGTTATTGCAGGCACCCCTTCAATTATTATCAGTAATTTTGGAAAAAATAAGCATTTTTACATATATAGGTATCTACATTTTCCCAGACATTCAGGCAGATTTTTAAATTAGTTTATTTTAAGATTATTAAATCACATTGTTAAATAAGTTAAAATAAGTACCTACATTTTTTAACCATCAGTTTGTGGCAACTGCCTAATTGTAATAACAAAGTGAATATCCAAGCAAAGAAAACTTTACGAGAATCATGACCCTGAACCATTTTCAAGTTCAGTTTTAATCCTGAAACAAAAGTAAAATAGGTATATTAATTAAGTTTCTATCTGGTTACTATAAACCACCTATAAACTACCCAAAAAATGAAATGTATTAATTTGTTATATTAAGAGAGGTTGGAAATATTTTTGACACTACTACTTCTACTTTTTTCTTAATAGGTTGATAAATATAACATATATACTTACTTTTATTTTACCGGGTATCTTTAACATATCTATCAGAGAAAGGGGGTACCAATACATATAAAAAATAGATGATACTGGCTCCTGCTGCAAATAAAATAACAAATAGTATAACCTAAAATTATAAATAACTAATTTTAAATACCTATCTGAAACCCTTCTGAAACAAAAAAAAAATCCTTATCCATATCCACAAGTCAATAAAATGGAGAGTTTGGAAAAAAAGGTAAATCATCAAAAGAAAAATTAACAAACATGACGAATTGTCATGATGTTGTCATGATGACGAAAGGCGATTGTTCTAATTTCTATTTAGAAATTACGTTTTATATGGCTGCTTCTTTCTCTCTTGTTATATTAGAATGAGATAGTGGGCCCAATAGACACAATACGCAGATCAACATAAATAGAACCAAATTTTGCGTTCTGAGTTGCGCTCGGAACTTGTCTATGTCTGGAACTGTGTTCTGAAACTGTCGCCATCTGTTGCCGTAGATACATTCGCCGAGGCGTAAAAAAGTGACACATAACCTTTTTTTTGTCCTTGTCCGGTATAAAATCGGAATCTTTATCCGAGTCGTCCAGTTCATCAGAGGTGACGTGTGAATTTGGTAGATCCTGTAATGAATAATAATCTTATATTCGCCTGTCTTTTTTGTCATTAAAAAACTTACCATTTCTCTCTTAAACCCAGGTATATAAAAACAGTTTATCAACCACACTTGTCCAAGATCGATTACACAAACACAAATAAACAGTTCAATAAAAAACTATTAAATCACGTATTCTTTTTAGTAAAAAATAGGAGCACCACAACGTAAACAACGCAGGCATCTGGTACGACAAACCTTGTGTGAATAACACGGTGCTGCTTCGCAGCGGCAGACGGTGGAACCAATTTTTTGCTCCGAATTTGCCCCGGGTATATCTGTTTTTATTATATGAAAGCCTGTAAGAGATTAGGAGCTGCCTCATTTTTGCACCAGACGATGCGGATCGTAATGAAAAATTGTTTAATGTCAAAACATAAAAATAGCCGAAAAGTGGAGCTGCCTCCTGTTGTCTTCAATTAGCCCCCTTGCACTGGAACATGTTGCAATAGCATTAATTTCCGGCTAAGAAAATAGTAATTGATCTATTAAATCATAATACTTCCAATAATTAAAATTATTTCCGGATTACTCATTATGTTTTTTACTGCCTTATAGTTGCTTTTAAGGCCCTTCCACTTGGTATCACTTTGCTGAGGAGTGAAAACTTGCTTAAACTTTTTGGTGAGTTGTTGTGCAATTTTATTCCAAACATATTTTTTCACTCCTGATGAAAAATCCTTGTCATATTTTTTACATAATTTGATTAAATGTTTAATGCTTGAATTCGTCCACAGTTTCGTATTGTCTAAAATGATATTATATTTTGAAAATACTTATTGTCTATATCTAATATCTAAATCTGAGTGGCCCTCACTCATGTAAACAAATGCATATATTGATCACGGATCCAGCTTAGATCTTCATTTTGACGGGGAACCACTGGGATTTGGCTACACAATAATATGTAAAAATAGTAAAGTATTATATACATATAAATTCCTTTTTGTTATATAATAAAATAACAACAAATATTGAAAACGAAAAGCTGGATACTAATGAGGTACGAAATTTGCTGCTACAGACATGCGCGGAAGTAGGCGATTGAGTTAAAAAGTTGGAGTGTTTATACGTTCATGCATTTACGCAAACCACAAGCAATTTATCTGGCCGCTACAGATTCACTCAAGTCAAATTGTTTGGCTTGTGCAAGTTTGCGATTTCGGTTTTCATGCAACAAGTTACTTGTGCAAATCGGACATGCACAAGCCAATTTGCGCCAATTGCTTGAGCATGAAAACGTACCTTTATCCGATGCTGCACTTTGAATGACGATGTACTCACCTTGAAAGATAACAGATTGTTATGTTTTTAATACATCTACATATATAATGGACGCAAATTGAGTTTAATTATCAACTTAAGATATATTTACCAAGTTCTCCGAGACAGACAACTAACTCCATCATTTTTGTATTATTTGAGGTATCAGTATTATTATTTGAAAATGGTAAAACGGCCCACAGTAAACACTAATAAGTTAGTTAAAATGGATGGCAGTTAAACGTATTTCATAAAAATAAAAAGAAACAAAAACTGTTTTGAATTATTTATAAATAAATGAGGTTATGATAGCAATCTCTTCTTCCTTTTCGATCTTTCCTAGGTGTAAATTATCGGCAGTGTCAACTGTTCCTACAAACTGGTTTCGAATCGATCAGAAACGGACTTTGCGTGGTGCATTAGTTCGAAACCTGTCGCTTACTTGTCAGTAATTCTTTGTGGGAACAAACCTTTAAACGAACTATTGTGATTAACCCCCCCTCCCCCCTCTCACTCATACGGTTTTTGGATGAAAGGACCTTTTCCTGTTTTCTCAATGGCCTGTGCTGATTTCACCGCCTCACCAAAATCTACCTCAACAATTAGTTGCCCAGGTTTTGTTCTCTCAGCTACCTCCTTTACCCGTCTAGAGAAATTCTGCGTTATAAGCGTTCGTCGTACTGTTGTTATATTATGAAAAGCATCGACCATTGTTTTGCTAGAATTCCAGAGGGGGCCTAGTAATTGCCCCTTTATGTCAGAGGGGATACCTTTTCCTAGTGCCAATTATCGCCTATCAAGAGCTCGCCGCATCGTTGAAAATGCTTTTGGCATTTTAGTGTCAAGATTTAGAGCTTTTGAAAAACCTATACCATTGCCACCAGAATCTGATGATGTAATTGTTAGCAGCTTGTTCGATACACAATTGGCTGAGGAAGACTACCAATAGGTACAATTGTTTGTGTAATTATGGAGAAAATAATTTCCAAAACCAATTTTGTCTGGGTTTTCCAACAAATTTTTTACAAAAGTAGTAATTTTTCTTTAAAATTCTGAGATATCCAATGTATTTTGTAAAACCTTCAAAGTTTGGTAAACTTCCTTTCTCTTATCCACTTTTATTATTTTATTTAAGTTACTTCTCCAAGCACGATCTACATGCCATGAGCAATATAGTCGATTTTCAATTGAAGTACCCATTGAATTTTTTTTTAATCCTTTATTTATTTATTTTTGTGATAAAATACAGTGTTACATTACATTTACATTTATAGTTTCATATTTATAGTTTCATAGCACCTAGCAAATTAAATTGCTGTGTGTGCTAAATTAAGCCATTCATTGTAATAGACAAAAGTAATATCTGACATAAATATTTTTGGATGTAATGTACCACATTTTGTTTTAATAGCAATGCAGCAAATAGGAAACCCTTCACCAAACTCATCTATGATCATTAATGTTGTTAATTCAACATCATACATGTTTAAGCCAGTGTACTGTCAATAGCTAAAGTATTACTTCCAAATTGATGTAATAAACTTTCTTGAACTTTATTTATAAAAATTAAACAAAAATCAGTTGGATCTTGGATATTCTTGACCTTGCTTCTTATATAACAATACTTCATCACCTGTTCGCATTGTTTAATTAAAAGGTCTACACTGATGGAGTCATTTTTATGACGGACACCATCTTTAATGTTTAATATTAATTGAATCTTTAATATTATTTATGTCTTTTCTATTAATAAGGTCACATCTTGATAGCTTATTTTCATCAAAGTTACTTCTATATGAATCAAGAACCCTAAAACATACCATTTTTGTAATTTATTATTGTTAAATATTGCATTATAGAAATTCATATAAAATAATATAACTTTTGTACTTGCCTATTAACTGAGTTTCCACTTATAAATTTAGCACCAATATCCATCCGATCTATTTTTGGAACACGAATATGTTCTAAACTTATATTATGTCCATAATGAGTTAAAAATTGGTAATTTTTTTCTGTTAAAATAATTTGGCTGGTGCATTTGTTTTTCATTTTACAGGAGCCT